TATGGGGAGGAAGTGAGAAGAGAGCTCTTACACTGTGGGGAATTGCAATCAATGTCAGGAGACAAAATATGTATGAACTGCTATAAGGAAAACGAATTTGCTCTCTGAACTTTCACCCAAATCACAATAAAAATTAAAAAAAAAAATGGATTCCTATTTATAATTTCCTCAAGGATCAATCAATTGAAGCTTTTTTCTCCCTCATCCGCCAAAAAAAAAACAAAAAAACCCTCTTACTACAGGAATTCTTTGAGAGTTCAACTCCCTATTAGTGACTGATGACAATTAAAAATTCACATGTGATAAAGCGACAGACATAAATTGTCCTATTGTGTATGCAAATTAGATTTAATGACAAAAAAACACATGATATATGTACTCTTTCTCTTTGGCACCTATATTTCCCCAAAAAAACTAAAAATATAAGTAGAAATTAATAGGCGGTATACTGGAGATTTATTTTTTCTTAAAAAATTATTTCTCTTCAATATAGATTCATTATAATACTCTAAATTTCATATAATCTAAATTGATTCCAATAATTTTAAAATTTCAAAATTCTCTAGAAGTTCCTCCTGATTTCACAGACTGCTAAGTGTAACAATTACATTTTTATAGTATTAAAATTTTGATTGTGTTTAACAGGTAAAATCCCAAACTCTGCAAAACTTAAAATCTTTTGTTTTTAAGAAACACATATGTCAACTCTTAATATAAAATGAGTACTCTGTAGTACTTACCATTTGATGCTGATGAACATGGTGTTAACAAACTAAGTGGGGAAAAATGTTGTCTGTTAAAGTTAGCAGCTGCGGGTGCTCCTCCAAGGGGTGCCCCAGGTCCATACATTTGACCTCCTGAAAGGTTTGAGGCAAAGTTTCCCAGATGTGTAGAAGAAGGTGTTACAGAACCATATGGTGAATCCATATTGACAATACCTATAACGTATGTAATAATAATTTGTTAATAGTTACACTCTAGGAGAAATAATTAAGACAATCCTAAAATCCCAAAAGACTCCAACATACTTTAGATAATTTAAGAAATTTCTGGGTTTTTTTTTTTTAAGTCCATTATTATCAAGGAAAATATTTTTGTATTTAATTGTAATATATGTTTCTATTAACTATTGTAAGACACATGTAGATTTAATACCAACAATGGAATTTAAATAGTTCTAGTACTAAATTTAATATTTAAAAAGTTAATGGCCAAGGAGCTTTTTATAAAAATCTATCAATACAAAGGTATAGGGGAATAAAGCTATAGATGTATCTCTACAATGGAGAGATCTGATTAGATTTCTATTGCTGATAGATGGACAATCTATCATCAAGTGCCTACTGATAGAAGGCAGTGTGAAGTTCAGAACTTTACCTATCTGATACTCCTGCCAGAAACGTTTGACATGAATCTAATCATAGGAAACAGACAAATCTGAAATGTGGGTCATTCTGCAGGAAAACTGGGCTCTTCAAAGGATTCAATGTCAAGAAGAGCAAAGGGAGATGGTGGGATGCTTTAAAATAGGGAAGACTAAAAAGACACAACCAAAAGCAATATATGAATCTTCAATATATTCTGGACCAAAATGAAACAAAAAAAGACACACAAGAATAGAATATATATTTGGGGAAATGGTACTGCATGCTGGATAGTATTACTGAATTAATGCTGATTTTCTTGTATGTAGTGACAGTGGTGTAGCTGTTAAGGTGGACATTCCTGTGCTGGGAAGATGCATGCTGAAGTTGTCAGTAGTGAGTGTTATAATGTCTGAAATCTACTTTCCCATGATTTGAAAAATGGTGGGAAAGAAATAGAAATAGAAGAATAGAAAAAGGGGGTTGAAACAGGAAGAAGAGTTAAGAGGGGGAGAAAAGTAAAGACAGAGAGGAAGCGTTTGAAAATATGTTAGTAATTGGAGCATATATGTGAGAGAGTATACAGGTGATTACTATTTCGTTTATTCTGTTCCTTAATTTGTTTGTGGTTTAAATTTTTTTTTTTTTCAAAAATAAAAATTATAAAAAAGATCTGAGTCTAACATACAAATGTTCAAATCATTTACTTATGATGGTTAAGCAAAGAAAATATGTATGGAACACAAAATGAATTAGAGGAAAATTAGTATCTGGAAGAAGTTTAGGAGAAAAAAAGATGCTTCCTATCCCAATACATGAGTAAGGGTGAACAGGTTTAACTCTAAATGACTTGAATCTAGCAATACTTCTCTTTGACAGACTTTGAAATTAGGCATCAATGCTAATTTTGACTCTAATCAACTACACTTCCTCCCAAAATCTCCCCCACCACACACCCTTTAGAGCTTGTCCTTTTTGCAGACCTTTCTACATAAGAGAAAATTTCCTCTAACTCTTAACTTTAGCCTTTCAAAATACACAACATAGATTATCACATATCTGGAAGGTAATGTATTTCCACTCAATTCCCACTATCATAAAAATAAAATTAAAAAGTATTTCCTGTGGATTACATATAAAGATATTTTAAAGACTAATCACATTGATTCTATTGGTTTTAGCTCTCAGATAAATTATTTTTAAAGTATACCTGTCAATAAATCCTTGTTGTTGTTGTTGTTATGTGCCGTCGAGTCAGCCCTGACTCATAGCGACCCCTCCTTGGGTTTCCGAGGCAGTATCACTACGGAAGTAGGATTGCCCAACCTTCCTTCCGAGGAGTGGCTGGTGGGTTTGAACCGCCAGCCTTCTGGTGAGCAGGCAAGTGTCTTAGCCACTATGCTACCAGAGCTCCCCAATAAATCCTTAGCAAAGAAATATTTACTGGTCATGTTCATTCAGAAATAGATAAAATAACATCCAGTTCCCATTACACTTGGAAATTTAAGATCCAGAATATCAACTCTGACAGCACACATCAACTATTGGCAACCTTTATGTAAAGAGCCAAATACTAATAGTATTTTAGGCTACTCTCTCAATTACTCAACTTTGCATTTTTTTCATGAAAGCAGCTGCGTGCAATATGTGAATGAACGGGCATGGCTGTGTTCCAATAAAACTTTATTTATGAACATTGAAATCTGAATTTCATATAAATTTATGTGTCACAAAGTATTTTTTAATTTTTTCCAACCATTAGAAAATGTGAAAAGCAGATAGCAAGCTAGATTTGGCCTGCAGGCCATAGCTTATGAATCTCTGTCACACACCATTTTTAATTACTTGAAAATCTCGTATTAAAAAATAATAATAATAATTGCAACTTGTATTCTGGATTGGATCCTGAAACAGATAAGGGGCATTATTGGGAAAAGTGGGAAATCTGAGTAAAATCTATAGCCTTGTTGAAGGTATTATACCCATGTTAATTTTTTGATTTTGATAAATGTACCATGGTTACATATTGCACTGGGCAGGCCAGAAAGCAGTAGGAAGCTGGCTTTTGGAGGGACAGAACAGGTAGGACAGGCCAGGAAGCTGGACTGGAGCAGCATGGAACAGCTAAGGGAGACGAACTTGTCTGTCAGTTTGTTGTCCTGTGGTGGCTTGTGTGTTGCTGTTAGGCTGGAGGCTATGCCAACAGTGTTTCAAATGCCAGCAGGATTACCCCTGGTGGACAGGTTTCAGCAGAGCTTTCTGACTATGAGAGATTTGGAAAAAGAGAAGCCATCCACTTCTCAAAGAATTGGCCAAGGAAAACCCTATGAATAGCTGGGAAAGACTGTCTGAAATATTACTGAAAAAGTTTACGAATGGCCCTGAAACATAATGTGATCTAGTGCCCAAAGATGAGCCCCTCAGGTCTGAAAGCACTGAAAATACAGGGAGGGATGAGCTGCCTCCTCAAAACAGAGCCAACCTTAATGGTGTGGATAGAGTAAAGCTTTCAGGACGTCCATTTGCTGATGTGGCAAGATTCATAATGAGAAGAAACAGTTGCAAACATCCATTAATAATCAGAACATGGAATATAGTAAGCATGAATCTAGGAAACTTGGAAGTTGTCAGAAATGAAATGGAATGCATAAAGATCAGTATCCTAGGCATTAGTGAGATGAAATGAACTGGTTTTGGCCATTTGGAATCAGACAACCATATGATCTACTATGCCGGGAATGATAAACTGAAAAAGAATGGTGTGGCATTCACCATCACAAAGAGTGTATCAAAATCTATCTGGAACTACAATGCTGTCAGTGATAGGATAATATCCATACGCCTAAGAGGAAGACCAGTTAATACTATTTTTATTCAAATTTATGTCTCAACCACCAAAGCCGAAGAAGAGGAAATTGAGGATTTTTAACGACTTCTGCAGTTTGAAATTGACTGAACATGCAATCAAGATGTATTAATTATCACTGATGATTGGAATGCAAAAGTTGGAAACAAAGAAGAATCACCAGTAGTTGGAAAATACGGCCTTGGTGACAGAAATGACACTAGAGAGCACATGAAAGAATTTTGCGAGACCAACAATTATTCACTGCAAATACCTTTTTCCAACAACAATAAATAGCGGCTATACACGTGGCCTTAGCCAGACAGCAGAATGACTACATCTGTGGCAAGAGGTGATGGAAAAGTTCAGTATCTTTAGCTAAAACAAGGCCAGGAGCTGACTGTGGAACAGACCATCAACTGCTCATAGGCAAGTTCAAGTTCAAGCTGAAGACAACTGAAACAAGTTCACAAATGCCAAAATATGAGCTTTTTTATATCCCTCCTGAACTTAGAGACCATCCAAAGAATAGATTTGATGCACTGAACATCGATTACAGAAAAAGAAGAATTGTGGAATGACATCAAGAACATTATCCATGAAGAAAGCAAAAGGTCATTAAAAAGACAGGAAAGAAAGAAAAGACCAAAATAGATGTCAGAAGAGACTCTAAAACTTGCCCTTGAATGGGGAGTAACTAAAACAAATGGAAGAATTGACATGATAAATGATAAAACAGCTGAACAGAAAGAGTACCTAAAGTAAAAGAAGTAATGACAACATAAAAGAACTGAACAGAAGATTTCAAAGAGCAGCTCAAGAAGACAAAGTCAATTATTATAATGAAATGTGCAAAGGCCTGGAGTTAAAAAACCAAAAGGGAAGAACATGCTCAGCATTTCTCAAGTTGAAAGAACTGAGGAAAAAATTTAAGTCTCGAATTTCAATACTGAAGGATTCCATGGGCAATATGTTGAATGATGCAGGAAACATCAAAAGAAGATGGATGGAATACAGAGAGTCACTATACCAAAAAGAACTGGTAGATAATCATCCATTTCAGGAGGTGGCATATTATCAAAAACCAATGGTAGTGAAGGAAGAAGTCGAAACTGCACTGAAAGAAATGGCAAAAAAAAAAAAAAGACTCCAGGAATTGACAGAATACACATTGAGATGTTTCAACAAATGAATGCCACGTTGGAGACACTCACTTGTCTATGCCAAGAAATATGGAAGACAGCTACCTGGCCAACTGACTGGAAGAGATCCATATTTGTACCTATTCCAAAGAAAGGTCTTCCCACACAATATGGAAATTATCCAAAAATATCATTGTTATCATACACAAGTAAAATCTTACTGAAGATAATTTAAAACCGGTTGTGGCAATATATTGACAGAGAACTTCCAGAAATGCAAGCTGGATTCAGAAGGGGACGTGAAGTGAGGGATATTGTAGGTGATGTCAGACGGATCTTGACTGAAAGCAAAGAATACCAGAAAGATGTTTACTTGTGTTTTATTGACTATGCAAAGGCATTCAATTGTGGGGACTTCGAATGGGGAATTCCAAAACACTTAATTGCACTCACGAGGAACCCATACATAGACAAGGAGGCTGTCGTTCAAACAAAACAAGGGGATACTGCATGGTTTAAAATCAGGAAGGGATTACGTCAAGGTTGTATCCTTTCACCACACTTGTTCAATCTGTATGCTTAGCAAATAATCTGAGAAGATGGTCTATATGAAGAACATGGCATCAGGACTGGAGGAAGGCTCATTAATAATCTAAAATATGCAGACAACATAGCTTTCCTTGCTGAAAGTGAGGATGACTTGGTGCACTTATTGATGAAGGTTAAAGACTACAGTCTACAGTACTGATTATATCTCAATATAAAGAAAACAAAAATCCTCACAACTGGACCAATAAGTATCATCACAATAGATAGAGGAAGGACTGAAGTTGTCAAAGACTTCATATTACTTGGTTCTACAATCAATGCCAATGGAGGCAGCAGTCAAGACATTCCATGACATATAGCACTGGGCAAATCAGCTGCAAAGGACCTCTTTCAAGTGATGAAGAGCAAAGATGTCTCCTTGAAGACTAAGGTGCTCCTAACCCAAGGAATGGTATTTTCTATTGCCTCATATGCATGTGAGAGCTGGACAATGAATAAGGAAGACTGAAGAAGAGTTGATGCTTTTGAGTGGTGGTGTGGGCGGAGAATGCTGTAAGTACCCTAGACTGCTAAAAAAAACTAACAAATCTGTCCTGGCAGAAGTGCAGCCAGAATGCTTCTTGGAATTGAGAATAGCCAGACTCCATCTCACATACTTTGGTCATGTTGTCAAAAGGGACCATTATCTAGAGAAGGATGTCATGCTTAGTAAAGTGGAGGGTCAACAAAAGAGGGAAGGCCCTCAACAAGATGGACTGACACAGTTGCTGCAGCGATGGGCTCTAGGTATAACAGGGATCATGAGGCTGGTGCAGGAGTGAGCAGTGTTTCATTCTGTTGTACATAGGGTCACTATGAGTTGGAGACAACTTGTCGGCACATAACACCACCACCACCATGGTTACACGTTTCCATATGGGGAAGCTACGTAAAGGACCCATGGGAATTCTTCTATAAACTAAAATTATTTCAAATTTCAAAGAAAAAGGTAACAGCTTACAGTTATAAGATCCTTAGATTCTTTTTCTATATCAACATTATCCAATAAAACTTTCTATGATAATGATAGTGTTCTGTATCTGGGCTGTCCAACATGGTACTTCCAGTCACATGTGCCTATTAAATACCTCAAGTATATCTAAAATGCCTTAGGCAATTAATTTTTATTTTATTTAATTCTAATTTAAATTTAAATACTATATATGGTTATCTCTCTCACTGCTGTCGAGTTGATTTCAACTTATAGCGACCCCTCCTTGGGTTTCCGAGGCTGTTATCACTACAGAAGTAGATTGCTCAATCTTCCTCCTGAGGAATGGCTGGTAGTTTTGAACCGCCAGCCTTCAGGTTAGCGGTCACATGCCTTAGGCACTATGCCACCAGAGCTCCTAGTATATATGGCTAATGGCTAGTATATTAGATAGTACAGCTCTATGTTCTTCTCATTATTAAAAAAAAAAAAAAAAAAAAAAAACCCATAACCAGGAATGAAAATTCAAATTTTAAAACCTTTGTCAATTATATTGTTTTTGAAATGAAAGCAAATTTCTCATCATTAAGGAGCCCTGGTAATGTAGTGGGTTAAGTGCTCCGCTGCAAACCAAAAGGTTATCAGTTCAAACCCACCAGGTGCTATGAAGGAGAAAGATGTGGCAGTCTGCTTCCATAAATATTTACAGCTTTAGAAACCCTCTCAGGCAGTTCTCCCTTGCCCTGTATAGTCACTGTGAGTCATAATCAACTCAACGACAGCGGGTTTAGGTTTTTGTGTACCTTATTAAATTAAAACATCAAGTACTTTTTGTTAAACAACAGAAAAAAGTGCCAGATGAATAAATAAATAAATTTATTTATTGGAAATTCAAAAAATCAACTTGTAACTTTTCAAAAAGATCAGAAAATAACATCACAGTAAACACACATAATGCTCTTAATGGCATTTGTATTAACCAAATACAAGAATCTCTGTCCATATGTTCCAGTCACAGAGTAAAAGCATTAGAAAATGACTAAAGGTTTTCACATCACCTTGTAACTGAACAGCTGCAGAATGTCAGAAAACACAAACTCACCTGAGGGACTTGGAGCGGGTCTCTGTAATGGTGGTCTGAAACCTGGAGCTTTGGAAGTATCAGGCTGATGTAAAGAATCTGAATTTGGCAAATATGAGGATTTTCCTGACAGCATAGATTCTGGTGTTGACTGAGATGAAACAACAGATCCTCCCCAGAAGGCATGAGCAGAAGTAGGGCTGTTTTCAAATAATGTGCTAAAGGGCCCAAATGGTAAAGGGGCACTGAAATTGGGAGCAATAGGCTTATTTGCTGGATGTACAGAATTCTGACAAGCACTTTGTGTACTTAAGGTAGAAGGTAGCTGGACAGAAGAGGGAACACTGTGAGGTCTTTTAATGTGATTGACACTGAGGACTGCAACAGATGAATTCTGCACTGGAGCTGGATTCTTGTGAGGGGCAGTTGTGCCATGAGGGGGTGGTCTAATAGCAGGGGTTTCCATTTTAGGAGCAGGCTGAGAGCATCCCACTTGTGTCTGAGGCATAGGGTATGTCACCGGGGCAGTAGAAGGCACCACCACTGGAGCAGAACTTGTTGTTGCTAAAGGAGGAACAGTCATTCTAACTTCCGGGGGAGGAACCTGAGACTGCTGGAGAGGTGGTCTTGGCTCCTGAGAAATAGATCCCAGAGGCTGCTGTTGAGTAGAATGAACTGAAGAACTCCCAGAAGAACTGCTGTTGTTTGGAGGTCTACTATTTGCTGTTTCTACTACTGGTGGACTACCTGCTTCTTGCTCAGAGGAAGATGTTCCTTTATTTGGAGATGCTGTTCCACAATCCAAAGGGCTGTTTCGAGAAACCCCTCCTGGTTGAGCTGGTGGAGATGGGGAAGATGGGGATGATACTGGGTAGTGTTCTTTGGCAGTAGGCATAGGATATGTGGCATTTGTGGGTGCGGTGCTGTTGTTGCTTGCTGTGGTTGTGACTGTTGTCGTTGTGGCATTGGATGTCTTCACAACTGTAACAAAAAGCTGCCTTCTGACTGAAGGTGAACTTGGACTGCCATTTGTAGATGTACCAGGCACCGTTGAAGCTGAAGAACTGGTTGTAGTTGTTGGACTTGAAGTTAAAGAACCTGCTGAATTCACCTGAGAACCACTGCTATTCTGATTGCTATGGCGAGGCACCATGTGAGGCTTAGGCGAGTTAGTAGCTCTGGCAGGGCTCAATGGCCTGACAGGAAAAGGACCCCAAGTGGATTGAGCTGGTGGAAAAGTACCTCCAAAGTGGGTCATGGGCAACCTTGGTGGACGGATCTGCTGGAAAGTCTGAGCAAGCAAAGCATGTGCCAACTGTGGAGGAGGATATGCTAATGGAAGAGAAACTGGAAAACCAGGCCTCACATTATTCACTGGGTTCTTAATGGTTTTGTGAGTGGATGCAGAAGAAATTGCAGGCACAGTGAGTGCTGTGGCAGTTTGAGATGTTGATGAGAGAGCTACAGTTGTCATTTTAATTCCCATTAAGGAACTGTTAGCAGCAGTGGTAATAGGTGCTGATGACCCTATTTTGGAATTTGCAGAGGAACTTTTCAAACGGTTCTTTGGAATAAGTTCATCAATTTCTTTGTCTGGATCCTTGATCAGAGCGTTGATCAACTGAGTTGCTTGTCTTGTTGATTCAGTGCCACCCCTAAAAGTTGATTAAAAAAAAGGGGGGGAAGAAAAAGTTAGGTCCAATGTCTTCTACTTTTCTGTGTGTATGTATATACATATATATATGAGAACAGATAACAAAAGTAACAATTCTTCATTCTTTCTTGAGGTATTCTGCAAAGTAATAAACTGCCCTGAATTACCACTGAATTTTTCAGAGAAACAGTAAATGATTTTTCATTATAAATTATTTAGAAAAACCACTGCACTTAAAAGCCTCTATAATATATAATTATAAATTTAAAGTTAATATTAAAAACAATACAAGGAAACAAGAAAAATAACACGATTTAATAAGAAAGGAGTATTTTCACACCACAACATTTGATAGAGCCTATGACTGCTCACAAGGCTGGTGGTTCAAACCTACCAGCTACTCCTCAGAAGGAAGATTGGGGAATCTATTTCTGTAGTGATAGCACCTCGGGAACCCAAGGAGGGATTGCTATGAATCAGATCCAAATCAACTGCAATAGTTTCATTATTTTATTTTTTTTTCATCTCTCTACCTATGTATTTACAGGTGATAAAAATATATCCATGAATGCAGTAGAGCACATAGGGTACAAAGTTATGAAAACATCTTAGTCACAACCAAACACCTTAAGGTAATGAATTACTGGATATAGAGGCTCAAGACCAAAGTTTCAGGGGACACGAAGGTCAACTGACATAACATAGTCCACAAAGCCAATGTTCTACATCAAACTTTGGTAAGTAGCAAGTGGAGTCTTAAAAGCTTATGAATGGCCACGTAAGGTCTAAATATTGGTGTCTACCCATCTGGAGCAAAGAAGAATGAAGAAAATCAATGATACAAGGAAACAATTAGTCCAAAGGCCTAATGCATTGAATGAACCACATCCTCCACGACTCTGAAACCAGAAGAACTAAATAGATGAATCCAGCTACCACTGCTCACCACTCTGAAGGATATCACAATAAGAAGTCCCAAATAGAGAGGGAAAAAAATATAGAAAAAAACTCAGAAATCATAAAACAAAAAAACCAGGCTTACTGGTCTGAAAGAGGCAGGAGGAACCCCTGAGATCATAGATCTTAGAGACCTTCATGCTGGGAACTAAACTTACCCCTATGGCTCAACTTTCAGCCAAATGATAGTGCACAGTAAATAAAGTGTCTAGTAATTCCAGAGAGGTACATGTTCATTAGAGCAATCAACCCTAGGAGTTTAAAGGACAGCATTTGCCCAGGCATAGAGCTAGGATGGAAGGAGGGGATAGGAAGGAAGAACAAAGGGACGGAGTGGGGACAGGGAGGAAGTGGGAAGAAAGCTGTTGCACTGTGGGGACGGCAGTAAATGTCACAATATAAAATGTGTATGGATTATTGAACGGAAAACCAATTTGTTCTGTAAACTTTCACCCAAATCACAATTAAAATAAAAAATCCTCAATAGAATGGCAGAAAAATGTGGAATAAAACTCAAAATCATTAAAAAAAAACAGGCTTATTGATTGATAAGAGAGTGGTGGAACCCCCGACATTGTGGCCCTAAGAAAACAGTATTTTAGTCCCAGTACTTGAGAGGACCTCCTCTACATATCTACATATTCATTAGTAGTTTCTCTATTAATAAGGTAAGTGTTATAATTCATCTGCAAAGATGTCTCAAATAAGGGAGGGATCCTGATAATGCCAACAACGTCATAAGGTCAAACCTGCATCTTCAGGCAGGAATTTGATTATAGGGAAAGGCTGCTGGGTACCTTCTTTGCTCTTCTCCAGATAAGGCAGGTTGTACCTAGCAAACTATTACAGAACACAGAAAAACAAGACAGAAGGAAAGGAGGATGACTGAAAAATACCAAAACAAACCAAACTCACCGCCATTGAGTCGTTTCTGATTCAAAGTAACCCTCCTTGGGTTTCCCAGGCTGTATCTCTAAGGAAGTAGATTGCCCAACCTTCCTTCTGAGGGGTGGCTGGTGGGTTTGAACTGCCAACTTTCTGGTTAGCAGTCAAATGCCTTAGGCACTATGCTACCTGAGCTCCTGAGCAGAATATAGAGATACCTAACAGTCTCTTTCCTTCTGAAGCCAACTGTAAGTATCTACCATGTAAAAAAACTACATGTTTATACATTACAATTTTTCATTTTTACTGTAAGGATATTCAGTCACAGACCCATTCAATGACTTACTTAAGTAAATTTTCACTTCAAGTTTAAATTACAGCGCTCATATCCTAAGGTCACAATCTCAAATGCTAATTTGAGAGAAAGATACCAAAACTAACCAAACTCACTGCCATCGAGTCGATTGGACTTACAGCAACCCCTCGTTGGGTTTCTGAGGCAGTATCTCTAGAGAAGTAGATTGCCCAACCTTCCTTCCGAGGAATGGCAAGTGGGTTTGAACCACCAGCCTTTTGGTTAACAGTCAAATGCCTTAGGCACTACGCCACCAGACTTAAAAAGTGGCAGAAACTTAAGATCAAAATCAAACCAGTTGCTGACATGTTGATTCTTATTTGTGGCAACCCCATGTTGCCAGAATGGAGCTGCACCTCATATGGTTTTCAAGGCTGTGATCTTTCTGAAGCAGATGGTCAGGACTTTCTTCCAAGGTGCTTCTAGATAGGTTCAAACTACCTACCTTTCAGTTAGTAGCTCAGTGAATAACCATTTGCACCACTCAGAGTTTCTTTAGTAGAAACTTACTTCTTTTTTAGTCTCTGGAAAAATTTTTTAGAACATCTTATGAATAGCTTCTATAAGGAAAAGATAATCTAAATCTTCCCCCCACATAAAAGAAACACAAATTTTTGTAAAGCCCTTCTAAAGAGCACAGTATTAACTAGGGAAAAA